GTCAGAGACCCAGCTGTCACGTTCCATCCTGAGACCCCAGCATGAGCAATGCATGGCACAGCAGGCATCCCCAAACCATCTGTTGAGTGAATGCAGATTTCCAATGGCTTCTTGAAATACTTTTTTCAGATTTACACCTATGAGTGTTTTGCCTGCATGCACGTATGTATACCATGTGCATGCCTGGTACTCCTGGAGGCCAGGAAAGGGCTTCAGATCCCCTGGAACTTGACTTAGAAAAGTTTTGAGCCGCTGAGTAGGAAGCAAATCCAGATCCTCGGCAAGAGCAGCAAATGCTCTTAACCGCTGAGCCAGCTCTCTAGCTGCCCAGCCTTCCTTCTGAGACCAGAGTCTCACTACATAGCCTTGGCTGGCCTGGACTTGCAGGTGAGTGTGAGTTGCCATGAGGGTGCTTGGAACTGAACCCAGGTTCTTCGCAAAAGTAACAAGTCCTCTTGATGGCTGAGCCACCTCTCTAGCCCTATTATTTAATTCTAATAAAATATACAAATTATTGCTGTCACATATTTTAATTGTTTTTAATTATGTGAATGTGTGTGTCTCTGTGTGTGGGTTTTTGCAGGTGAGGGCCATAGAGGGCAAAAGTTACAGACCCCTGTAACTAAGGTTACAGGTGGTTGTGAGGTGCCTGATATGGGTGCTGGGAATAAAACTCAGGTCCTCAGGAAGAGCAGAGCATGCACTCACCCCTCTGAGCCATACCTCCTGCCCTTCTGAGATACATTCTTGCAATGTATGAAGCTCAGGGTTGGCTCTGAACTTGTGCAACCCTCCTGCCTCAACCTCTAGAGGCACACACCAACACCAACTCAAGCAATGTTTCTTTCACCATTTTAAGTGTACCATCCAGTAGTATTAAGGGGATTCACTTGCTGGTGATTACAGTTATTTCCACCACCCATGTCCAAGATGTTTCATTATGTAAAATTTTGATTTTTTTTTTAATTTTGAGACAAGGCCTTGGCATATTGCCTCGGATGATCTGGAACTTGCTATGTAGACCAGGCTGGCCTCAAACACGGAAATTCACCTGCCTTTGTCTCTGCCCAGCAAACACATAACTTTGAATCCATTAAACAATAGCTCCCTATCTTCTGCTCTCTCCTGTCCCTGGCAGCTATTACTTTCTGTCTCTGAGCTGACTGCATCTTACAACATGAAATAATCTGCTATTGCATTGTGCAGGACATGTTGCACATAACGTGCAATTGTCTTTTGCCTCTCATAATGGTGGAATCATATGCTATTGTCTAGCGCTCACACAGGTTGAATCACTTGTCTTATGTGTCTCATATAGGAGGAATCAATCATTCACTATTGTTTTGTGCATCTTATGTCGCTTGAATCATATATTATTTTCTCCTCTATTGCTTATAGCTGCAATCATTTCCTGTTGTCTTTGCATGCCATAGAGGTGGAGTCCCCTGCTGCTTTCTTGCACATCTCCTTTTGTTGCCTTGTGTGTCTCATATAGATGCAACCAGACACTATCATCTTATGTAGCCACACCCACAGAATCCCAGGCCACTGTGTTGTGAATCTCATATAGGAGGAATGATTACATATTATCTTTTACATTTCATATAATTCAACATTTTGTGATACATCTCATTTTGATAGAATATGATTGTCTGGTGGGAATGGGCAGCCACTGGGGCAAGATGGTAGCATGGGTGCCAGCATAGTCTGGGACTCCAACCCAGGATTTCAGGCTGGAGGTGGGTGATACCACTTGGCCAATTTATTCTTTTTCTTGAGACATTTTTTCTTGATGATCTGTCTTTTTCTTCAGATGTTTAGCTTGTCCAGTCAGTGGTCTATGAATTCCTTAGCTGGATGCTTTTTTTTTTTTTTTTTTTTTTTTGTTTTTTGAGAAAGGGTTTCACTGTGTTGTTTTGGAGGCTGTCCTGGAACTTGATCTGTAGACCAGGCTGGCCTCGAACTCACAGAGATCCACCTGGCTGCCTCCCGAGTGCTGGGATTAAAGGCGTGCTTAGCTGGATGCTTTTATTATCCTGGAACAATAGAAGCAAAGCCCTGCACCAACCCTAAATAGGGGATGGAGGGTCCTTTTTTGGCAGGTTATATTTTTTCCTAGGACAAAATGTTTTTTGACAACAGAAAAGTATTATCTTTCAATTAAAAATTCTTTTGAAAAATTGAAACTAAATATACTTTAGTATGTGTGGATAAATAATACTATAACTAAACATACTTTACTATATGTGGATAAATACACCTATAATTTCCCTCTCCTCCTCAATTTTTTTTTTTTTTTTTTTTGGTTTTTACGAGACAGGGTTTCTCTGTATTGTTTTGGAGGCTGTTGGCCCAGCCCGGCCTTGAACTCACAGAGATTCGCCTGCCTCTGCCTCCCGAGTGCTGGGATTAAAGGCATGCGCCACCACCGCCAGGCTTCCTCCCCATTCTTACTCTCATCCTTCCCATGAGTCCTTGGATTACAGTATTTTTGATAAGTCAGTTCTACTTCTATTCTGTGTGTCTTATATGTGTGTATGCATACACAATACTCTCTATTTCCTGTATCTACATAAAATCCTAGAACCACAAATGGGAGAAAACACATATTTATCTTTCTAAGGCTGACTTAATTCACTAAATATGATTATCACTAGCTGTACTTATTTTCCTGCAAATATCATAACTTTGTTCTTTTTTTCTTTTTGTGTGTCTGTGTGTATATGTGCAAGTGTGTGTGTGTGTGTGTGTGTAGGTCAGAGGACAACCTTCAGAAGTCTGTTCCCTCCTTCCAGCATAGGTTCTGGGTATAGCAAGCAGATCATCAAGCTTGTGCTTTTAACTGCTGAGTCATCTCATCAGCAATTTTTTTTTTGTTCTATGTTTTTATGGGCTTTTGAGACCTGGTCTTGTATAATCTGAGCTGACTTCAAATTAGTTATGAGGTTGGCTTTGAACTCTTGATCTTCCTGTCCCTGATTTCTGAGTGCTGGGATTAGAGGCATGAGCTACCAAGGGATAACTATGTTTTAAAGGATTATTTATTTTTATTTTTTGTGTATTAGTACTTTGCCTGTATGTATTTGTACCACACGTGCCTGGTACCTGTGGCGGTCAAAGAGGACATCAAAGCTCCTGGAATTGGAATTACAGATACTTGTGAGCTGGAATGTGGATATCACAAATTGAACCTGGATTGTCTGCAAGGGCAGCAAGTGCTCTTAATTGCTAAACCATCTCTTCTGTATTTTTTTTTTTTAAGATAGTCTCATTGTGGAGTTTTGACTGGCTTGGCACTCACTGTGTTCATGGCTCATTTTGAACTCATAGATTTTCCTGCCTCTGCTTCCCAAGTGGGATTAAGAGCTTGTGCCAACATATCTAACTGGCATAACTATACTTTATGGCTGAAAAAAAATCCCAATGTGTGATATATACACCCATCCATTTCTCTGTGGATGATCCTCTAGGTTGCGAATTGTGCTGTAATAAATGAACACTGATGTGTGAGTATTTCTTGTGTTTACCTGTAGTAACTTTGATAAATACTTAGGACTGACATAGCCAGACCGTGTTAGGTTTATTCACTTTTTTGTAGAACCTATATATTGATATCCATAGTAGCTACACTACGTCACACACCCACTAGCTGTAAATAAGTATCCATAGTAGCTACGCTACGTCACACACCCACTAGCTGTAAATAAGTATCCGTAGTAGCTACGCTACGTCACACACCCACTAGCTGTAAATAAGTATCCGTAGTAGCTACGCTGCATCACACACCCACTAGCTGTAAATAAGTATCCGTAGTAGCTACACTACGTCACACACCCACTAGCTGTAAATAAGTATCCGTAGTAGCTACGCTGCGTCACACACCCACTAGCTGTAAATAAGGGTTCTCTTTTGTTCCCATTCTCACCAGCATTTCTTTCTTTTTTAAAATTCTGATTGAGGTAAGATGGAATCTCAGTGTAGTTTTAATTCATGCTCTCAAGAGGGCCATGCTCCCCACATCTAATTCCAGCACACAGAAGGCTGAGGCAGGTGGATCTCTAAGTTCAAGGTCTCTTTGGTCAACATAAATGAGTTCCAAGTCAGCTACACAGTGAGACCCTGTCTCAACAAAACACATGTTCTGCTTTAAAAGGAACAATTTTATCTACACGACAATATGGCTATCATGGCTGAGTTTTTCATTTTGTTGTTTGGTTTTGGGGGATCTTAGACTGAACTCGACTGACCTTTAACTCCTGACCCTCCAGTCTCCACCTAATGAGTGCTGGGGTTGCAGGACTGCGTCGCCACACCGGGCCAGGGTGAGGATTTGAACCTGAGCTCCTGACTCCGCGTCTTATACTATTTCAGGTAAGACGATCTCCCCCCTCTAAAAGGAGTACAGACTGAGATGAGACGCTCCCTGTTGAGCAGACTAGCAAAGCTAGGATCCTGTGCATTTAGAAGCCGAAGAGTCACGGGGCCAAGCCATGGTGTAGACCTTAAGTCTCTGAGAGGGCAAAGAGCAGAACCTACATAGCACTCGCAAAGGGGAGGAGTGGAGCCCCTCCCCCATCCTACCGAGAGGACCCCAAGTCCTTCCCGGAAACCTGGGCGCGGCCGGGCTGTGCGAATGGCACAGGTCTCGAGCAAGCAACAGAAAAGTGACTTTGGTGAGGTTCCGCCGAAACCCTCCTGCGCTTTCCCGGTGTCCACGACGGCTAGCACGGGCTCCCTCGCCTGCTTCTGGTTTCCTCACCTCCCTGTAAGTTCTTTCCTCCACTCGGCCCCCAGAGTGAATTTCTTTTTGGTTTAGCCTGACCCAGGCCCGGGAGAATCCGGCAACAGTCCACGTGGCTACCGCGCAAGCGCGTCCGGACGGAGTCAGGGAGGGGCCGGCGGACGCAGGCGAGCATGGGCCCCGCCCCTCCGCCGCGCCGCCCGTGACGTCACGGGGCGCCGGCCTCCGCCCGTCCGGCTGCAAGCGGTGAGAGCTAGCGGCGGTCGGACCTGAAGCCGCTGGATCGGGAAGGGATGCGGTTGTCCAGATCCTTCTGGAGGGGGCTTTGGGGAGGACGGGAGGCCAAGATGCTTCAGCCGCTACTGCCCCTCAGACTCTGTCCTCCCTCCTCCTACCCTCCCCCTTGCAGAAATGCCGGGACGTGGGGCCGCGCAGGGGCCGAGCATATGTGACACCTGGCGTTTCCCGGTGGCTTCCAGACTCTACCACTCTCTCTCCCAACTCCTCATGCTAATCTCCTGCCTTCCAGATGTTTATTTTCATCAGTCTATCGCTCCTTGCCTGCAGTAGTGTACTCAGAAGTTGGAGATGAATTTTCAAACTTTAGCCCTGTGTTAAAAGTCCCTGAGCCACAGTATTTCTTCTACTGGCTTCTGGTCTTAAGGATCAGTGTGACACCAATAAAAAGAAAGGAGGTGGACGTCTGTTGAATTCCTGCATGGCCAAGGACCGAGCAAACTGCTGCCCCATCGAATCCTCATTACTTGGTGTTCTTAGAACTCCCATTTCACATCTTAACCTCGCAGACATTAACTTAGCAGCAAGAGAGATTCAAGCCTTCCTAGCTCCAAAGTAGGAACTTGAACCCAGACACTTCCGGTCTGGATTCTGGCTGTACTGTTGGGCTGCCAAACCCCAAGCACCAGATCAAGTACTTCTTCTTTTCCAGCTGAGAATCCTTTTCACATCCCCTTTGCTAGTGCAGAGTGCTTCTCCCTTGGTTATTTCAGAAACGAAATCAAGCAAGCATTTCTTCAGTGCTCTAAGGAGGTAAACTTTTTGAGCACAGAATCTTGGATTTTAGACCTGGCTCTGCCACCTACTATGTGGCCTTGAGCAAACCCATTGCCTTCTAACTTTAGCTTGCCTTTGCATAACAGAGGTGAGAGCCTTCTGACCTGCAGGCTCTTATCCAGTTCTGCCTTACTGTCTTTCAGCAGGTGCTCCACGGAGGCCCAGACCCCTCTGCTCCCCATGGGCAGCTGCCAGGCAGGGCACAACCTGCATCTCTGTCTGGCTCATCACCCACCTTTGGTCTGTGCCACTTTGATCCTCCTGCTCCTTGGCCTCTCTGGCCTGGGCCTTGGCAGCTTCCTCCTCACCCATACATCTGGCCTACGTAGCCCTGACATTCCTCAGGTAAGTACCGTAAGTACCCGGATGCTCACCCTTCTGGTACATGCCAGCCCCTGCCGCCAATCTCACTTCTCTCTCATTCTCCTTTTCTTACAGGATTGGGTTTCCTTCTTGAGGTCTTTTGGCCAGCTGAGCCTGTGCCCCGTGAACGGGACAGTCACAGGGACTTGGCGAGGGCCTCACATCGTCGGCTTACTGACTACTTTGAACTTCGGAGATGCTCCAGATAGGAACAAAACCCAAACATTCCAAGCCAAGGTCCATGGTAGTCAGATAGGATTGAAAGGTGAGATCTGGGGAATGTGGGGGTCCAGCTTCAGAACACTTAGGGTTGGGACCTACATTTGACTTTACCAGACTGGTGACCTTGGGCACATCTGTACATCTTAGTTACTACTGCTGAAGTACAGGTTGTTGAGCCACAGTATAGGTTTTGTGTTTTGTCTCTGCTGTTCTAGTTCCAGGTTTCCTCAGTTCTGTCCTAGCATGCACCAGGAGGCCTTAGTTTTAAAACCACACTCCCCACTATGTATATATATAGAGAGATATGGAGAGAGCTCAAGCATGCCAATACTGCCTGGATTATATAGTGAGTTCTAGGTCATCCCGGACTACATAGCAAGTTCTGAAACCACCTCACATAATACGTATGACAGCATTGAAGTACGAGTCACACACCAATATATATTTCACCCATTTAAAGTGTGCAAGTAAGTTACTTTTAGTCTGTTTACACAACCATGGAGCCACCCTGAAACCCATTTTAGAACTTTTTTATTCATCTAAGAAGATCTGCACCTTAGCTGTCCTTGCCTCTTTTCCTCAGGACCCCAGGCTTCTGCGAATCTGTCTGTCTCTGGTGGTCTACCTGTCTGAACATTGCTACCCTGTGCAGCCCTTTGTGACTTGAGATGTTTAAGGTTCATCATGGTACTGCGTACTGTTCATTCCAGCACTGGGAAGCACTAGATTGGCCGGCAGATCTCTACAAATTTCAAGCCAGCCTAATCTACATAGCAAGCTCCAGGTAGCCAAGGCTACATGATAAGAACCTGTCTCAAAAAAGAAAGAAAGAAAGAATTATGCTATTCTCTTTTTTTTGGGGGGGGACAGGTGTTTGAGGCAGGGTTTCTCTGTGGCTTTGGAGCCTGTCCTGGAGCTATCTCTTGTAGACCGGGCTGGTCACGAACTCACAGAGATCCGCCTGCCTCTGCCTCCCGAGAGCTGGGATTAAAGGCGTGCACCACCACCACTGCCCGGGGAAACTATGATATTCTTTTTGGTTTTTACGAGACAGGGTTTCTCTGTATTGTTTTGGAGGCTGTCGGTCCAGCCTGGCCTCGAACTCACAGAGATCTTCCTGCCTCTGCCTCCTGAGTGCTGGGATTAAAGGCGTGCACCACCACCACCACCACCACCACCACCACCACCACCACCACCACCTGCCCGGGGAAACTATGTTGTTCTTAACAGCGGTTTTTGTGTGGCATACATGTAAGCACCATTGAGAAGAGAAGCAATGGAATATAGGATAGCTCTATGGTTAATCTGGGAAACCTCCAAACTGTTGTACCGTTTTATGGTCTTACAACATGAGCTTTGCATTTTCTTCCATAATCACTCACACGTAGTTTTGTTTGTTTTTGAGACGGGGTCTCTCCATGTAATTCTGACTATCCTGGAACTCACTGTGTAGACCAGGCTGGCCTCCGTGCCCTGTCCCCCAGCACTAAGATCAAAGGCATGCAGTGCATTCTCTGCTTAGCAGTACTTTCATCTCTCATTTTCCGTGTACCCACCCTGATCACTGAGCAGCCCAATTCACTGTGGCAGTGATTTTTCAGGTTTCTTAGTCTTTCCTCTAAGTTGTTTACAGTCTAGCAAGAATACAGTCATAAAAGAAGTACACATCTGTCAGGGTGTGAAGAAGGTTGGTGAGGAAGACCTTTCAAGGACACAGCATCTAAGCTTCGACTTTTAGACTGTTTAGCAGTGTATAATTCCAGGCAAAGGGAGTGGCAGACACAAACGCATGCAGATGGGAAGGAACCATGATGGCATGTTTAGGAACTTTCTGGGGTCAGTTTAGATGGTGCATACAAGGAAAGGAATGCTGAGTTGGGAAATAGGTCCAAAGCAGGAAGTAGAAACTCATGGCAGTCTTTTAATTAATTAATTAATTACATTTAGGTTACTTGTCTCTGTGCATGTGTGTATGTGAGCATGTGTGTATGCCACAGCATACTTTATAGGTCAGAGGACAACTTGCAGGCATTGGTTCACTCCTTCTAGGTATGAGGTGCTACCTAGCGCACACCTTTAATCCCAGCACTTGGGAGGCAGGAGCAGGTGGATCTCTGAGTTGAGGACGGCATGGTCTACAGAGTGAGTCCCAGGACAGCCAGGGCTGTTACACAGAGAAACCCTATCTCAAAAAACAAAGAAATAAAAACAAACAAAAAGATTTTATCTGCTAGTACATTGGGCAAACTCAGTCTAATCAAAAAAGTAATAGGATTGGGTCTCTTCACAGGGAAACTAGGAAGTGACTTATAAGGAATGATGAGAGTTAGGCATCATGTGTCTGTAACCCCATCACTGGAAAAATTGAGGCAGAAGCACAGGTTTGAGGACAGTCTGGACTATATAGCAAGACCCTAGGTTTTTGGGTGTTTTTTGTTTGTTGGTTGGTTGATTGGTTGGTTTTTTGAGACAGGGCTTCTCTGCATTGCCCTGACTGTCCTGGAACTCACAGACCCACCTGCCCTTGCCTCCTGAGTGCCAGGATTAAAGGAATATACCAATCCCACCCCCAGCTGTAAGACCCTGTTTTTAAAGAAAAGGTATAAAACTGGCTGTAGTGAAGCACATCTTTAATCCCAGCACTTGGGAGACAGAGGCAGGTGGATCTCTGCAAGTTTGAGGCCAGCTTGGGCTATGTAGTGAGTTTCTGGACTGCCAGAGCTATATAGCAAGACCCCGGCCTCAAAACAAACAGAGAAGGAAGGAAAGAAGGCAGAAAGGAAGGAAAGAAGGAAGGACAAAAGAAAAGATATGATGAAAAATTAAGATAAAACTTGTGAACTAAGAGGGACATTTAATGTCTGGGACTAACAACACAATACCTGGCCAATGAGTCCATTGGCAATGGGGTAGGAGGGCAGAGGTTGTCTATGGAATTGTACATGTGAATCTTCAGCTGTGATTATAGTGGATATGCCAAGGTATATTTCTTTTTCACTTAGACATATATGGCTTTCTGTATCACTACCTGGTCTGTTATTTTAATGGCTGTAAATTGATCCATTAAGTGGTTAGGCCATCATCTTTAATGTTTTCTCCAGTAAATAACACTATTTTTCGCAATTTTTTTTGTACTCGATAAAACCAAAGCAAACATTTTAGTGTATGTTGTTTTGTGTTTTTTTCTTTTGCTGGTATTTAAGAATGAGCCCAAGGGTTTCATATATGCTATGTAAGTGCTCTGCCATTGAACTATACCCCTAGCTCTTAACATACTTGCATTTTTTAGTCCCTAACTTAGGATTAGTTTCTATAAGTAATATAAATTTTTTTAAGTTCATTTTAGTTTATTATTGGTGTATGGGGTAGCCAGAGGGCAACGTTGTGTAGTTAGTTCTCTATTTCCGCCTTTATCTGGCTTCTGGGTACTAATTGTCAGTCCTCAGACTTGCATGGCAAGGACTTTTCCTAGATGAACCTTCTTACCTGCCCCCTTTCTTCTTTTTTAAATACTGTATATTTGCTTTTTTGGTGTTCGTTTGTGACAGGGTCTCATTTAGACAAGGTTGGTCTCAAACTTACTATGTTGCCAGAAATGATGTTGAACTCATGATCTGCCTGCCTGCCCACCCGCCTCCACCTTCTCTATGTTGGGATTTCAGGTGTGCATTACCACTCTTAATGTATGCTGCCTTGTGGTCCACAGGAATCCTATCACCTGAGCTGTATCCCCAGCCTTGTAGAGATTCAGATCACATAGCAGTGTATGATCAAATGTATGCTCACCAACAGTTTGGTGCGCATCCTCTTTGCTCATTTAAAATGATGATAGAAGTTGGACATAATAGCCATGTCTATAATCCCAACAGTTGGGAGGTTGAGTAGAAGCATTGCCATGAGTTCCAGACCAACATTGGCTAGATAATGGTTTCTAGGCTATTCTGGGCTCCAAACAAACAAAAAACTTTTGGTTTTGTGTCTTTCATAGAAATGCCTTCAACACTTTAAAATTGGAATATAACCTATATTTTCTTTAATCCTTTCTGAAAGCTTTCCTTGATTGGTGTGTTCTTTAATACATCTGGGCTACTTATACTGTGAGATGACAGTCTAACTTTGTATTTTTTCTACTGAAAATTGCCCCATAGCTACTTACTAAGGAAGCCATCCTTTGTCCAGTAATTTGAATTAGGGTGTGAACTTTTAATTTTGGTGCCCCGTGGATAATTGCTTTCTTTAAAATGACAAATGTATTTTTTAAATATTTATTGTAAAGATTTATTTTTTGAGCTGGATGGTGGTGGTACATGTATTTAATCCCAGCAATCAGGAGGCAGAGGCAGGCAGATCTCTGTGAGTTAGAGGCCAACCTTGTCTACAGAGCAAGATCCAAGATGGCCTCCAAAGCTACACAGAGAAACTCTGTCTCAAAAAACATAAAAACAAACAAAAAATGTTTGGTTTTGTTTTTGTGTGTGTGTGTGTGTGTGTGTGTGTGTGTGTGTGTGTGTGTGTGTGTGTGTGTGTGTGTGTGTATGTGTGTTTGCTGGAGGGGACCTGAAGAGGGAATCTGATCCCTTGGAGCTGGAGTTGCAGGCAGTTAGAAACCTTTAGATGTGGATGTTGGGGACTGAACCCAGGTCCTCTGGAAGAACAGCCAGTGCTCTTTGCTGATGGCCAATCTCTCTGGCTGCCCACTCAGTTTTCCATCTCCTGTCTTGTGCCTCTTGTAGGTTCCTCTGCAGGAGAGTCTATCCTCGTCACAGCCAGAGTGGCCTCAGGAAGGGCTCCAGAGACCTGCCTCTATTTCAGTGCTGTTCCAGAAATCTTGCCCTCTAGCCAGCCACCTATATCCTGCTCAGAGGAGGGAGCTGGAAATGCTACCTTGAGCCCAGTGATGGGTGAAGAGTGTGTCAGGGTCTGGAGCCACGAACGCTTTGTGCTCACCAAGCTCCTTACTTCGGTAAATGCCTTAGGTTCATCTTCAAGGCTTTATAGATTGTCATGTTGTCTGAAAGGGTTGGGGAGGCAACTTCGCATAGCAGAGAAAGAATGGCTTGGTCTGGTGTAGTGCCATGCTCTCTTCCAACCCTGGTACTCCAGAGTCTGAGACTGGAGACTGAAAGCTCAAGGCCAGCCTGGACTTTTTTAAAAATTTATTAATTTTCATTTTATATGCATTGGTGCTTTGCCATAGGTGTCAGGTCCCCTGGAACTGGAATTACAGACAGTTGTGAGCTGCCATATGGGTGCTAGGAATTGAACCCAGGTCCTCTGAAAGAGCAGCCAGTGCTCTTAACCACTGAGCCATCTCTGCAGCCCCCAAGCTTGGACTTTATAATGACAGTTTATTTAAAAAGAAGAACAAGAGTGAGCCAGCATAGGTTTTTATAGCCCTGTCTTAGGCTAGAGGCATGTGGTATAGAACAAGCTCAGAACCTCTCTCAGACTCAGCTTCCTTATCTGTAAAGAACAAACATGATGTAATCTACAGATTGCAGTAACTAAGGACTGAATAAGAATGACCTAAAGTCCTCAGCACAGTACCTGATGCAAAACAGAGTTGATCAGAGACAGCCATTTGCTGTTTTCTGACTTGGAGACCAGCCTGGTCTACGTAGGAGTTCCAGGACAGTCAGGGCTATATGGTGAGACCTGGGAGGGGTTGAGCCCCTTTTCCTTGGTAAGATAATCCTTCAAGAAGGATATGAGTGCAGCCCAGCCTTTTGGGATTCATATGGGGTGCTTAGGAATTGCCTAGAAGGAAGCAGGAGAAATCTCAATCTCAGCTGGTTGCTGAGCTGCTATGAAGGTTAGGCTAAATGTTACAGGTTGGCACTGAAGTCGGGGCCATGTAGAGCTCTTAGGGGAGAGAAGGAGGCTCTCACTCTGCAGGTCAGAGGAGCTGGACTGCATGGAGGAAGGGAGCGGTTAAAGGGCTGCTACTCTCACACCCCATATTTTAAAAGGCCACTTGTGCCAGGCAGTGGTGGTGCACACCTTTAATTCCAGCACTTGGGAGGCAGAGACAGGTGGACCTCTGTGAATTCAAGGCCAGCCTGGTCTACTGAGCAAGTTCCAGGATAGCCAGGGCTATACAGAGAAACCCCATCTCAAAGCAAACAAACAAACAAAAACAAAAAACAAAAAAAGGCGATTAGGGGAAGCAGAATCTGTCTCTACTTGCAGTCCTAAAGCAGGTAAAGCCATTTGCTGGCAGCAAGTTTTATGGCTGTAGAAACTGGCTTAGAGATTAAGAGCACGAGCTACCATTCTGAATTATCTGGGTTCAAGTCCCAACACCCACATAGCAGCTTCCAACTATTTATGACCTTAGTTCTAGAAGATCTGATGTTCTCTTTTGGACTCTGCAGGAACTGCATGCAGGTGATGCAGACAAAACACCATAATACAAATACACATGTAAAAATATTTCAAAAGGACCATGCCTGGATGTGATGGCAAACACCTGTCACCCCAGCACTCAGAAGGCTCAAGGCAGGATACACAAGAGAGTCGAGGCCAGCCTGAACTATATTAACAAGACCTGTTTCATTAAAGAGGAAGGAAGGAAGGATGGCAGGGAGGGAGGGAGGGAAGGAGGGAGGGAGGGAGGGAGGGAGGGAGGGAGGGAGACAGGCTGGTGGAATGTGAAGAATAGTGATTTCGGGGAGTCCTTCTGATAGTTCAGTTGATGATTGGGCCAGAGAGCAGTTTGGAGCCTATCAGGACAAATGCTCCCTTCCATCTGCCCCAGAGCTGCTCTCTGAACACCAGGAGGACTCTTCCTCATGGAGGGTTGTCTCTGTTTTTCAGGGTATGGGACAAGAAATCTTCCCACTGGAAGATTCCCAACCCACTCTGTTGTCATTCCCCCTTCCTCCCCGTCCCCACCACTAGGAGGAGCTAGCTCTGTGTGGCACCAGACTGCTGGTCCTGGGCTCGTTCCTGCTCCTCTTCTGTGGTTTTCTCTGCTGTGTCAGTGCTGTGTGCTTCCATCCACGCCCAGAGTCCCACTGGTCCAGAACACGGCTTTGAGGGCACCAGCCTGCTCCTTACTCTGTTCTCAGGTGAGGTTCTGTGGGAGTTGGTGGGGAAGGGATGGCCCCTGAACTTGGTAAGGCAGACCCTTAGAATCAAATACTGTGATTCCCTGAGAGCCCTATTCAGCTATCTCCTTATGGGGACTGAGAACAGTGTTCTCCATAAGTATACTATGCTTTTATTACTTCTACCTTTTCCTTTGTGTGTGGGTGGCCATGTGTGTGCCCTGGTGTTGCATGTGGAGATCAGAGAAACACTTTGTGGGGTTGATTCTCTCCCTCCACATTTATGTAGGGTCAGGAGAACTAAACTTAGGTCATCAGGCTTGTTTTCATGGCAACAACTTTTACCTGCTGAGACATCTTGCTGGCTCTGTCTTTACTGTGAAATAAGTAACTTTCATGTAAAATGAAAAGCCATAAAAGTACATTTTGACAAATTATTATAAAGTGGACACTTGCAAATACCACCCAAGGAAAAAAAATATTATCAGCAATTCAGAAGCCTCCCCTAAACAGGGTAGTGGTAACAGCACATGTCTTTAATCCTGACACTTGGGAGACAGAGGCAAGCAGATCTCTGTGAGTTAGAGTCCAGCCTGGTGTAAAGAGTGAGTTCCAAGACAGCCAGGGCTACATAGAGAAACCCTGTCTCAAAACAAAACAAAACAAAACAACAACAACAAAAAACAAAACTGAAAAACAAACCATGTACATGGCTCCCCTAAAGTAAATAAATATAATAATTTAAAAATAATAATTTTGGGGCTGGAGAGATGGCTCAGAGGTTAAGAGCACTGACTGTTCTTCCAGAGGTCCTGAGTTCAATTCCCAGCAACCACATGGTGGCTCACAACCACCTTGAATGAGATCTGGTGTCCTCTGCTGGCGTGCATAAGATTGTATACATAATAAATAAATAAAATATTTAAAAAATAATAATAATTTTGCCAGGGGTAATATATGTGCCTTTAATTCCAGCACTCAGGAGGCAGAGACAGGTGGATCTCTGTGACTTTGGGGCCAGTCTGCCTTACATAGCAAGCTTTGGGCCATCCAGGGCTGCATAGTGAGACGCTGTCTCAAAATGAATAAATAAATATTAAATAAATTTCAAGAGAAAAACAAGACTCCATGTTTAGGACAGATCTTCAGACGTGAACCCTCTTAATTCACCGTTGCTGCCATAAGGGTAGGTGTAAAGTGGAGCTCTGGTGAGTCTTACAATCAGAACACTACTTGGAAGACAGCAGCCACAGAGGACATGTACGGAAGCATACCAAGTTAAAAACGAAGGTCCCAGTGTATTGGTGAGTGTCTTTAATACCAGCACTCGGGAGGCAGAGGCAGGTGGATCTCTGAATTTGAGGCCAGCCTCGTCTACTTAGTGAGTGCCTACCAACCATGACTACATAGTGAGTTTTCATCTCAAAAACAAACAAGAAAACAGCTTTAATCGCAGCACTCGGGAGACACAGGCAGGTCTCTGTTAGTTTGAGGCCAGCCTGGTCTACATAGTATGTGTCAGGTGGCTGGACCTACAAATGAGACACTGTCTCAAAACAAACAAACAAACAAAAAAGTAAAATGAGGGGCTGGTGGTTTGGTGGTTAAGAGCACTCAGTGTTCTTGAAGGGAACTAGGATTTGGTTCCCAACACCCACATCTAATAGCTCGAAACCACCTGTAACTCTGGCTCCAGGGCATCTGACACCCTTTCTGGCCTCCTTGAGTACCTGTGTACATAAACTCATGCAGGCACACACATATACACATAAATAAAAATAAATATTTTTTTAAAAAGGTAAAGGCAGGGCCTTAGGGGTTAAAAAAAACACAAAAACCTTAGGGGGTTAAAAAATAAATAAAAACAAAATCAAACCACATCCATACATAGGGAGTGTTTTCATTTAAATAACCACACTTCCAATAATCTTCATTGGCTGAGATCCTGTCACTCACTAATCACATACTTGGAATATATAGCTGTATAAAACTGGAAAGCATAATAGTAAGGACTTACGGGGAGATCAAGCACACTGTCAGGAAGGAAGTGTCTTTTTTTTTTTCAATCACGTCCTCTCATTGAGTGAAAAAAATCAATCCAAAAAACACCTTCACCTTGTTGGGCAAGTTCCATCCCATTTGAAAGTTACTCGTCCAACTCTTAAGCCTTCCTCAGGTTCTGCTGGTCTTTGTGTGCTAGGAAATTACTATGGGAGAGTGGAAACCACCTGGATTGTGGAATTGCTCCAACCCAGAGGAACTGGAAACTCTAGATAACTTTGTTAAATTTCCTTATAGCTGGGACTCACTGTCCCATCTTCTCTGCTTAGGATGGGAAAGAGTGGAGCCCATTCAGCCCAGGGGTGGGGAAGGCTTTCAGCTGCTTTGACCCTTGGTTGACCCCTGTGAGATTACATGCCAGAACTCTCTCACGATGTCCCTTCTGCTGCTCCTGCCTCAGTTTCTGTGTCTGCAGTTTCCAGGGGCTTTCTTACCTGTCCTGTTTCTCTTATTCTCCAGGTGAAGATCACATTCTTGGGCCTACTTCTGAGTTTAGAAGACCTATTACAAAAAGCAAAGATCTGGATGGGGGAAAATAAATGGCTTTTTGATCACTGTCGTGTAAGGTACTTACTGGGGATTGGGTTAAAGTCACATTTTAGGGCGCTTTTCCTTGTTGCACACACTCATGATGAATATACCTGCCATAGCATGTACGTGAATACCACACAACGATGATTCTGTCTCTTCAGCTTTTCCACGGGTTCAAAGCATTGAACTCAGGTTGCCAGACTTTCATGGCAAGCACCTGCTTAGCTGTTTGGATCCTGTCTCTTTTGTGGGTGCTGTGATTGAACACAGACAGGGCCTCATATATGCGAGGCAAGCATTCTATCACTGAATGATATCCCCAGCCCTGTTTTGTTTGCTGGTTTTTTGAAACAGGATCTCACTATTCATCCCTGGCTGTCCTGGAACTCGCTCTGTAGACCAGGCTGGCCTCAAACTCAGATCTGCCTGCCTCTGCCTCCCGAGTGCTGGGATGAAAAGCCTGAAGCATTCTGACCCCTGCTTTATTTTCTCTTCTTTGAGATGAGCTCACACTATGTAATCCTTGCTGGCCTGAAACTCAAAACCTTCAGATGTCACCCTCGCCAGTGTACAGATGGCTAGCATCCTTATTCTGTTTATAATACAGGTTTACGTAGGGCATAGGGTCACTTAAAACTTTGCCCATTTTTGTGGATTTCCTTTGGAAAACATTTGCAGGTTTTTTTGTGTGTTTGCTTGTTTGTTTGAGACAGTGTTTTTATGTGTAACTGTCCTGGCTATCCTGGAACTTTATTTGTAGACCAAGCTGGCCTCAAACTAATAGAGATCTGCGTGCTTCTGCCTCCTAAATATTGGGGTCAAAGGCATATGCCACTATGCCCAGTTTGGGTTTTTTGGTTGGTTGGTTTTGTGGCTGCTTTGTTTTTGATACTGGAACTCCATTAGGTTACACACTGCTGTGGAACTTGTATTCTCTTGCTTCAAATTCAGCCTGCTGAGTATTAGAATTTTAAGCATAATACCTTTCAGATGTACTGAGACCCCCCCCTCCCCAACTGTGCTATTTGATCACTTGTTTTCTTCCATGAACTTAAATTGTCGATTCTGTTAGGTAGGGGCTTTTAGACAGAGGAAATGCTTTGACATAAATGCATTATGACTTTTGACAAGTTGTACAACCCTACTGGACCTCAGTTTTCCTGTAGGGATTTGGCCTATTGGGTTTCCCCAACTTTGGCAGGTTATCCTCGCACTTGGGAGCTCAGGTCTAGTTTAGATACTTGGGAGCATCATAATGGCCCGTTTTCCCGCCTTTTCCGCGCAGTTGCTAGCACCCTTGCTTTACTCTTCTCAGCCTTTATCCTGCACGCAGGCGCAGACCACAGGTTCCCTTCCTCGCGCGCCCCCTCGGAGCTTCCCCTAGCAACAAGCTCAGGCGCAGCGCGAAAGCTGGGCGGGCGCATGCGCCACAGCTCTTTCCACCGGCAGTCCTCGGACCGCGCGCTTGGGCTCCTCCCCAAGCAGGCCCAGCCTTTCTCCTCTCCTCTTCCCACCCAGGATCCGCGTGGCGGGGCGCGCGCGCACTTGGGCTCCCGGGCAGCCTCTCGTCTTGGCCGCAGCAGCTAGGGGCGAGGGGCGGGGCTATTTCCTTTGGGGTACCACCCCCTTTGGCCTGGCGTCCCTACCGCGCCTGCGCGCTCCCGCCCGGTCTCCATCTTGGAATTGGGAGGAAGAGGGAGAGGGAGGCCGGGACGAGAGCGGGGCTGTGGTGCGGTGAGAAGCTGAGACGAAGAGGAAAGGGAGTGAGGGCACAGGGACGATCAGCAGCACCTCAGCTACATTCTTTCAGTTGTTCCGGAGAGGGAGGCCGGGAAAGGGAGGAGGCCAGGGTTGGAGTGGAGGCTGTCACTCTCGGACCTCAGCCTGAGAGGGGCCGTGCAGCCGGGCGTCCTCGGGGTGGGCCCGGTGTCTGTGGCGGAAGACCTGGGGCTCAGGCCCCTGGGTTCCAAATTTTTGAGCTTGGTCCCTCGTTTCTTAAATACCTAGGTATCAAGCCCTCATATATCAGATATCTGGGACTCGAGTCCCAACCTTTACAAACCTGGGTCTCTGTTTTATACAATTTAAAATACCTGGGACTCAGGACCTTGCGTGCACCAGTGTCCAGGGTTCATTCTCCAGGCGTCCAAATATCGGATTCATTTTTGGTCCTTGCAAATATACGGGGCTTAGACCCCACAATCGGAAATCCGGGATTCAGCAACTGTCGCCCTCGAGTTGGGGGAGGACTGGACCGCGAGGTCAGATCAGGTTGTCACCCCCTCCCCTCCAGGGGAGGCTTCCCGGGCCCGCCCCTCAGGAAGGGCGAAAGCTGAGGAAGAGGTGGCAAGGGGGAAGGTCTCCTTGCCCCTCTCCCTGCTTGTCAGAGCAACTGGAGTACCCCAGGCGGAAGCGGAGGCGCTGGGGCACCATAGTGACCCCTACCAGGTGAGACACGGGTGCATGGGCATGAGTCCCTGTGGCCAGCACCTTTCTTTTGAGCTGGGGCTGGATAGGCCCTCTCCTCAGGATGGGGAGCCCTGCTGGGTCCGTGGTCAGTTTGTGGCCAGCCTCGCCTTCTGCTGCCACCTCTTTCTCTCTTCCTCTTCTCTTCATTGTGTCTGGTTGAAGGGGGACCTCGGGTGACAGGGCCTGTCGTGACACCAAGGGTCACGCCCTAGGATGCTTAGCTAATCAAAGGGATTTCCACCTTTCTAGTCTCATCCCTTATTAATTTTGCCCCCATAACCACCTCTTCTCTGTGATTTTATTATACTCTTTTTTTCCAGACTGCCTTAGGGTGTTGATTCTCATGTAGGTGGGCTTGTCTTTATTTATTTATTTATTTTGCTTGAGGCAGCCTTTCTGTAGCCCTGACTAGTGGATCTGGCCTTAAATTGGAGGCAGTCCTGCCCTAACCTCTCTGATGCTTTGATTACAGGTACAAGCAACCACACCGACTGCTTTATATTCTTTTCTGACTTGGTCTAGTTGGAGTTTTTGTCCTTGCAAAGCTGTGTGTGTGTGTGTGTGTGTGTGTGTGTGTGTGTGTACACACTTGGTAATATTTTCCTCCAGCTGCATTTACCCACCTGTCTCTTGCTGTGACGGTGTAAATAATTTCATACATTTGCCAAGTGACCTACCCTTTTTTACAGAGTACTTTAGCATACATTTTTCTCATGCCACTCTCAGATTGCTCCTATGGGAACTCTTTTATTATTGTCTTCCCATTTTACAGTTGAGAACATTGATACCCAGAGAGGTTGTTCAAGGTCACCCAGTGGTAGAATCAGGATTTTAACTTTACTTGTACCCATTTCTTGCCATCTTTTTTCTTCTGAGCCTGGGCTTGATCAGTTATCCACAGGAGATTGTATCTGGAGGTTTAAAAGTGGGGATATAGTGATCTTCCTTTCCAGAAAGGCTCTACTCAGGAGCTTCTGAGAGGGAGTCCTGCTGTGCTTCTGCCTCATGGCTTTGGTTTTGTTGTGACCTTCATTTTTAGCCTGATCCCAGACTTTGACCTGGGTTCCAGAGGTAGCTCTCTCTTCTAACAAATGATGGCTTTAGTGGCTCTCTTAGCTGCTGAGTTAGAATGCACCTCTTTACTCCCCCCACCCCAGAATTAAGCCTGTGGCAACCCTAGAATCAGAGAAGGAAAAGCCATTTGTTCAGTGTCTACAAAGTGTTCTGAGTGTGAGATCTCAGGGTTGCTTTCTGTAATTCACTTAACCAAGAAGTATAAGGAACTTAGCAGAAGCTCCATTGCTCTATGTTGTAGATGAGATGCACTGGTAAGATAATTTAGGGACTCTTTTGCAGCATGGATTTTAGAAGATGATTATGATTTAGCCCAGACCATGGTAATTGCTCAAATGTTATTGTAAGAAAGGGGCCTGCATGATGTTTTTCCAATGGCTGGCACTCTCATGTGGCCTGAGGTTCTGGGTTGGCAGTCATGGGCTTGTTACTGGTTAAGAAGTCATGAGGGTTCCCTTGGCAAGTTGTAAGCACCTGCCTTTTGTGTGGGTATGTGGTGAGGGGCGGTTGCCACTATTGCTCCAGTAGAAGTGGGCTTGCCTTGAGTAGACTTCTTCTGAGGGCAATCAGTCAGTCAGTTTCTCAGGCTATTCTGAGCCCTTCACACCCTGGAGGCCCACCAAAGTCTCAGGCTCCCTCCCTCCCCTCCAGCTTCCAGTTGAGCTGAGGAGACAAAATTAACAACATGGACAGGAAACAATGCACCACAGAATATAATTATATGCTGAAATTGTTAGGTACCTTTAAGTAGCTAGAATTCTGCCTCGGGAGTGTCTAAATTCTCCACTCGTCCTTAAAAAGGCCTGTCTTGGAGTCTCTGAGTGTTCTGGTTCTGGTACTTTGCAGCAACTTTCTCTCTGAATTTGGCTTGGAGTGTCCACCCCCTAAGGGTTGAAATGACCTGAGAGGCTTTCCTCTATTGGGGAGGCTGGGCTTAGTTTCCCTCCTAACAGTGCTGTCCTGACCAGAGAGGGAAAGGTGCTGTTCTGTGACCTTGGGGAAACCCTTTTTCCTCTTGGCCTCAGTGACTCTGTCTGGAAAATGGTGATCCTGATCATGCCTTGCTGGTTTTATATGGCTGTTCTGGAGGCCTGCCTGGTGGTGCGGTCATTTGACCTATGAGCTTTGGGCAGGTCATTTGACCTTTCTGAGTCTGTTTACTTTTCTACAAAGGATAGAGGTGACAATAGTGTTTATCCATACAGTTGTAGGAGCTCAGTGAGAGGTGATGTGTGTGAGATGCATAAATGTCCATGACCCACAACATCCCATGCTTTTGTATGCTGCTTATGCAGATGGACTGAACAAGTAAGACAATCCAGAACACAGAGGTTCTCAGGGTCAGGTGCCAGTCCCTACTGTTCCCATTCTAGATGTCGTCCCTGCCACAGTGTCCCTATATGTCTTGAAAATGAGTCTCCTGGTCCCTTTAGGCCAGTACCCACTTGTAACAATGGCCGGATTTCCACCATATCCGGCCTGACTATTTCCTGTTCTCATCCAGTGTGTGAGAGCTTGAAGGAGGAGGTAGCCTCAGCACCAAGGGGGGCAGGAAGGTGCCTGGAAATCACTGGACTATGAGAACTTGTGGGACAGGACGTGGGGTATGAAGCTCTGGCTGGGAGGGAAGGGCTGGGTATAGGGGGCTGGGAGGGAATGGCTGGGTATAGGGAACTGGGAAATTGTTGAAGGCTGAGGGTGTTGATGAAGATACTTAGCTTCCCAGAATTGTCTTCCTGGACAATTTTAGGGACTCCAGGGACTCAGCCCCCATGATCTGGTTGCCAGGGCAACATTTTTTTGAGCTTTGATGTTGTTCCTAATAGCCCCCTACCCTTCCTCAGCAGTAGCTCCCTCTCATCCCTAAATGAGGGGAGGACAAGGCAAAAAAACTTGAGTGAAGCCCTTTATCTCCCTCGGGGCTCTGTCCTTGCTCTAAGGGTCCTGTCTGCTTTTCCCAGGCAAGCTCCCAATCTCAGGGCCCCCAGGGGCCATCATGCCAGCTGGGGGCCGGGCCGGGAGCCTGAAGGACCCTGATGTAGCTGAGCTCTTCTTCAAGGATGACCCTGAGAAGCTTTTCTCTGACCTCCGGGAGATTGGCCATGGCAGCTTTGGAGCTGTGTACTTTGTGAGTGGGGTCTGGGTGAAGCAAGCAGGGGTGGAGTCTTTAGCCCCGTGGGTCTCCATTCAGACCTTCTGCACCATTCCACCTCAACAGCCCCTCACACTCTCTCCTGCTGCTCAGCAGGTCCTCTACCCCAAGCCCAAAGGAGTCTTTCTCACCCTCCAATCTGGTCCTCTAGGCCCGGGATGTCCGGAATAGTGAGGTGGTGGCCATCAAGAAGATGTCCTATAGTGGGAAGCAGTCAAATGAGGTGAGTCAGGTTTATAAAATCAAGTTGTCAGGAGACAGAGGGCTCTGGTCTCAACATGCAGGCTGGGTAACCCCTTCCTCTTTTGACCTCCTAGAAATGGCAGGACATCATCAAGGAGGTGCGGTTCTTACAGAAGCTACGACATCCCAATACCATTCAGTACCGGGGCTGTTACCTGAGGGAGCACACAGCTTGGGTAAGCTGTTCCACAATTGCTGCAGCAGTTTTACTCAGGTCATCTTTTCCTGGTCCAGCTTCCGAAGTGGGCAGTCTCTCGTGGCCACGTTAGTCCTCAGAAAACCCATCAACCAGGCATGGTGGCACACACTTCTAATCCCAGCACTGAGGAGACAAGCACAGGTCTACTTAGTGAGTTCTGGGCCAGCTAGGGCTACACAGTGAGATCCTGTATCAAAAAGAAAAACAAACAAAAACATGAGCATTTGTGTAGACACAGGAGGAGAAGCTGACCCAGAGTGGCATAGACAGTTAACAAGTTGTAAGGGAAGCTGGGCGTTGGTGGCGCACGCCTTTAATCCCAGCACTCGGGAGGCAGAGGCAGGCGGATCTCTGTGAGTTCGAGGCCAGCCTGGACTACAGAGTGAGTTCCAGGACAGCCTCCAAAGCCACAGAGAAACCTTGTCTCGAAAAACCAAAAAAAAAAAAAAAAAAAAAAAACAAGTTGCAAGGGACTGTGTTCTTTAGGAGGAGATGATTGAAGGGGACTTTAAAGGGGTCCAGATGGGAGCTATGGTAGGTGTCTTGGAATCGTTCTTGGGGAGGCCTTGAATCCAGAGACTCTCCTACCACCTCTTGTTTTCTCTAGCTGCCCTTCCTCTCTGTCATTACCCTTTTGGCATTGCCTGAGTGGAAGATAAACAAGGAAAGTTCTGTTTTGAGTTTCTGCTCAAGGGAGCTGGGCCAGGGGTGGCCAGAATCTGCTGATCTCTTAACACTTGACCCTTCCTTAGCTGGTGATGGAGTATTGCCTGGGCTCAGCTTCTGACCTTCTGGAAGGTAAGTAGATCAGAAAGTGGGATAAAGAAGATAAGCGAGAAAGCTGTAGGAGAAAGCAGCTGTCTCCACCCTGTGGCCCCTCAGTTTGTTGTCCTGCTCCCTTCTGCAGTGCACAAGAAGCCCCTTCAGGAGGTGGAGATTGCAGCCGTGACGCATGGGGCACTTCAGGGCCTGGCATATCTGCACTCGCACAACATGATCCATAGGTATGATGATACCAACTGTGGCTGAGTGTGGGGTGCTTCTATAACAGTCCTCATTTTGCTAAAATCCCTACACATCTTTTCTGAGATGCATTTTTCATCTTTCACCTTTGCCTCTGTCAGGGATGTGAAGGCTGGGAACATCTTGCTGTCTGAACCAGGCTTGGTAAAATTGGGGGACTTTGGCTCTGCGTCTATCATGGCACCTGCTAACTCCTTTGTGGGCACTCCATACTGGTGAGTGGGAAAGAAGAGGTGGTGCAGAGATTCCTAAGATGTTGGAAATAAGTGTAGAATCTGGGTTCAGTGGTTAGCCTTTCTTTGCTCCTGTTCTCCCAGGATGGCTCCAGAGGTGATCCTAGCCATGGATGAGGGGCAATACGATGGCAAAGTAGATGTCTGGTCCTTGGGGATAACCTGTATTGAGCTGGGTAAGGATGTCGTCTCTGCCTCAGATTATTGTCCATTCCTGTCTGTTTCTCTCCCCATCCCATCCCATCCCATGGATCCCCAGGCCTCTAACTTCCTGTCCATTTTGACTACCCTGAAGCTTTTTTGATACAAGCATTATCAAACCCTACCTTTTTGTTGTTGTTTTTGAGAAAAGGTTTCTCTGTTTAGCCCTGGCTATCATGAAACTTGCTCTGTAGACCAAATTGGCCTCAAACTCAGAGACCCACTTGCCTCTGCCTCCTCTCCTGAATTCTGGAATGGAAGGAGTGCACCACTCCGCCTGGTCCCACTGCCAACTCTTACAGCAGTTCTTGCTTCTCCTCCACTACCTGGACTTTAAATCTGCTTTAAGTGCCCAGTGTGCTAGGTCCTGTGGGTACGTGGTAAAATTCCTGCCTTAATTAAAACTGCATTCACGTAGGGGAAGCTAGGCATGTTTCCTATCAATGGGGAAGAGTGTAGAAGCTCTAGGAGTGCAGAGCTAAAGCAGCACCCAGTTTAGGGGCTAAGGAAGCCCTGAGTGTAATGGAAATGTTTAAACAAACCTGCAAGACAAAGAGCTGCTAGAAATATGTAGGGTAAGTATTCCAGACAGAAAGTGGCATTGTAGAAGTTTAGAGTTAAGAGCAAGCCTGAGGAACTGAGACTAACTTTGGAGTGAGTTGACAGGTCTGGAAAGTTAAGCCCAGGTGAGTTCCTGAAGCTTTGGAGCCATGTTTGTGCTCTCTTTGCCAGTCCATACTACTGAAGCAGTTGTCTAATGGGGTAATGCTTGTAAGACCTTCCGCACAACTCCGGGCATGAAATCATTGTCCAAGAAAGAGTAGTTCTTACTGACTGCTTCCTGCAGAGATCTTTATTCTGCCAGTTGTCCATCTCCCCCCCCAGGCTGACCTCACACTCAGTGATCTGCCTCAAGAGTGCAGATCAGAGATGTACACCACACCACCTGACAACCAGTCTCTTCATAGTCTCTCTGATGGGCTGATGCCACAGAAGTCTGCCTGAATTATGTGCCGTCATTTCAGCCCCTGCTCAGAGCCATCGGTGACTTCCTGTTGCCTCCTAAACCAAAGCTTGTATACCGGGCTAGAGCCTCTGCTTGCTCTTTCCTTCATGGTCTCTGCTCATGTGGAGCATGTTAGCAGCTTGTGCCTGCCATCAGAGACTTGGCTGTGCTCTTGCCCTCTGTCTGTCTTCATATATACTGCATTTACCATTTGAGGACATGACCAGACAGGTGGTAAAATGTGTGGAGCAGGTCATAGAGAAGAGCTGTCTGTTGTAGACATGTGGATACACAGAAATAGTTCTCCACTATTGGAAAGCCTGATTAGAGATGGCAGCCAGTAGGGCTGGAGAGATGGCTCAGTGGTTAAGAGCACTGACTGCTCTTCCAGAGGGCCTGGGTTCAAATCCCAGCACCCATATGGCAATTTACAGCTGTCTGTAACTCCAGCTCTAGGGGATCTGACAACCTCATATAGATATACATACAGACAAAACACCAATGCACATAAAATAAAAATAAATTATTACAAAAAGAAAGAAAGAAAAGGCAGGCGGATCTCTGTGAGTTCCAGGCCAGGCTGGACCGACAGCCTCCAAAACAATACAGAGAAACCCTGTCTCTTAAAACCAAAAAAAAAAAAAAAAAAAAAAAAGAAAGAAAGAAAGAGATGGTAGTCAGTACTTAATATCAGTGAACCAGTGTGGGGAGACAGAGCAAACTGGAGGCCATCGATCCTATAGATAGGACCACTGTTTCATAGTTCCCACTTATTGCTATATAGGAATAGAGACTCCCATTTTACCATATCTGATTTCTAAAGAAAGGCTGCAAATTTGTAATCACATAATTATTGTCGGCAATTTAGTTTAGTTTGTTTGTTTTGGTTTTGTTATTGTTGTCATTGTTGGGGGGGGGGCACTTTTCGAGATAGTGCTAGAACTCACTTCATAGACCAGACTAGCTTCAAACTCACAGAAATCCACCTGCCTCTGCCCCCTGAGAGCTGGGATTAAAGGTGTGAGCCACCATCGCCTGGTTGAATAAGTTTTTGAAATCACTATTTAGGTCAAAAACAACTAACAATCCAGGTGGTGGTGGTGGTGGTAAATTTCTTTAATCCTAGCACTTGGGAGACAGAGGCAGGTAGCTCTCACTTTGAGTTTGAGGCCCACCTGGTCTACAGAGCTAGTTCTAAGATAGCCAGAGATACACAGCGAAACCCTGTCTCTAAAAAACAAAACAAAACAATGTCTTTGGGCTACAAGGTGTTCTTGGCTCAGCACTCTCACAGCCACCACTAGTATTCCCTTCTAAATGACCTCTCCTTAGTTTCCCAGCCATTTACCTGTCTTCTCCTTCATCCCCATTAACACCTTAGTGTTACTTTGTTTTGATGGTACTGGGGATCAGATCTAGAGCCTGGTACATGCTAAGCAAGCATTCTACCACTAAGCTACATCCCCAGCTCTGTCTAAAGCTGCTTGTTTAGTTTAGTTCATTCTGGACTGGAAACTTCTTGAACACAGAACATGTTTCTTGTTTTTCTGTTTTTCCCACACCTGGCAGGTTTTGATCTCATTTGGCCCTCATAAGTACTTGTCAGGCTGATAACTTGAGTGTGCTTCTTTATGCCTCCTTGCTGTTTTCTTTAATACCTACTCTGCCCACATGTAGCAGATAGAATGGGCATTACATTTTACTGAGAGGAAATTAAGACTCAGCAGGATTGGCAATTGCTCAAGGTCAGGCAGGAAGGAAACCAGGGAGATGGGATTTGAACCCAAGCCATTTTGAGTTCCCTTCTAGTCTCTGATCATCTACCTCTTCTTACCTTTTTCCTTTGTCCTTTCTGTAGCGGAGCGGAAGCCACCACTGTTTAACATGAATGCAATGAGTGCCTTATACCACATTGCACAGAATGAGTCCCCTGCTCTCCAGTCAGGACACTGGTGAGGACAGGGGTTCTTGGGTCAAGGGGTTAGGTCATGGGGTCTAGCTGCCTGGCTCATGCCTTTTCCTCCTGTCTCATACT